AGCTGTAGTGCTTTTTAAATTTTATTGAGACAGGGTCTTGCTAAATTGCCCAGGCTGGCCTCCAACTTTGATCCTTCTGCCTCAGTCTCTGAATTATAGTAAGTCTCCAACTTACAAACCAGCTCAATTCTGGAAGAATGTTGAATTTGTAAGAAGTTGAATTTGTAAGTTCAACAAAGTGAGTCCTACACACCTCTGACACAAACATACAGGGGAGAGATGGATGACAGAGATAAAGGATGATCAGCAATACAAGATGGAGGGCAAGGTGGCATTTTGCTCACCTCATTTAATGGCACAGGCTTTTTGGATTCCAGAATGGATTCCATTTTGTCTACCCTCTTGAAAAAATGACCTGAGTAGTAGCTCTTTTTTTCCTCATGAGATGCCTCTGTAGCACTGATGGCATTAAGAATGCCTGCTGCAACACTGCTGTATCATTCTATGTTGGAGTCCTATGCCTCAAAAACTGGCAGTGCCTCTTCAAGTAAGGAAAATCCCCTTGCTATATCCCATGCTGTGAATCTCTTTGGCTCTTCAGTTACATCTTACTCTTGGCTCTCTTTTCACTTGGTCTCTAATTCCATCAGGTCCTCACCAGTAAGCTCATGTTGCACAAGTTCCCTGAGGTTGTCCTCTTGCAGATCCAACTTAACTTCTTGCTATGGGTCACTAAGCTGTGAAGACCTCTTTGGACTCCTTACCATCTTCTCAAGTCCATGAACTTTATGAACGAACTGTGGGCAAAGGGTCTTTCAAATCCCAATCATGGTGACAGCTGAAGCCTCACGCTAATCAAAGTTGATGCATGGCTTTGTAGATGTTATAGTTCTTCCAAAATTGTTGTTTCATCAGTTGCCTTCACTGCTCAACAAAGGTGTGCCATATAAGTATTTTTAAAGTTTCACATGAATGGAAAGTCACAGTAATTTTTTGGTCCAAAGACTGTATGAGTGCCACAGTATTCAGTGGCTGATGCACTACTTTGATGTTGGGATGAAAGCCAAGCGGGGGTGACCTGGTATACTGTCAAGGAGTGAAAGAATGCTGAATGGGATATCTACCTCCAAACAGTATTTCTCTATCTCTGGGATAAAGTGGTAGAAAAACCGGTCCTGCAAAAAGCTTGTGTAACCCATACTTTGGAGTTGCTCTTCCAGACAACAGACAGAAAGCCCTTGGCCATGTTTTTGAGGACTCAAGTTTCATATCTCTGGAAGAAGTAAGTCTGGCCTTTGCTGCTTTAAAGCCTGGCAACGACTTTTCATCTTCACTGTTCTGGCATCCTCTTCCAATACAATCCTGTCTTGTCAGTGTTAAAAACCTGTTGGGGTAAATTACCACCTCCAGCAATAGTTTCCACAAGTACTGCTAGAAATTCTTGGGCAACCATGGTGGCTGCACTTAGCCTCAGCATTTACTTTCAAGCTGCGAAGGGTGGCTTTAGCCTTGACTCTGTTTATCTGTCCATGGTTGGCAGTAAAAGATGCACAATATTCACTCTATTTTTTCATCTTCGAACAGGCGTTTGGTTTTCTCTCAACTCTACTATACTGAGTGGAATAACACTGATGCTGATTCTGTATCTACAGAGACGTTTCCTCCTCTCCTCTATCACACTTTTTGGACAGTATTGTTCACTTCATTGGCAAAGCAATTTCACATTATAAGAATGAAACATCTACTATCACTTTGCCTTGGTCCAATCTCTCAATTGTTATTTTTGTTCACATGGTTAATGCTTCATACTTCCTAGCAATACTCTCCACACCACCACTTTTCCTATGGTTTCCAGGACTGGAAGCTACTGAGCACTGAAGCTACATGGCTGACTGAGCACTGTATGCTCCTGTACTGCACAGTAAGCACACAACACCACAACTGGGGCCACATCCAGCAGACACAAGAGCTACTGCCATGATTTGTCCACATCTACAAATGTTTGTAATTTGAGATCTATTCATATCTGTGATAGTTTGCAGCTCAAACATTAACAGGATGGAAATTTACTGTTGCTGAGATTGTAGATTCAGACAAGTACCACTACATTGAGCTTTTGCTCGCTCTTTAAAGATGTTATCATCTACTTTGAAAACTTCACATGAACAGAAATATACTGTTTATTTTTTAATCTTTATTCCTCAGAGACTTCCATTTTCACAATTCTATTTTATCAGGTGCATTATTCCAGCACCCTGCTAAGTATGCTCTCCACGTGCTGGAACTACAGTGTTGCTGATGGAGTGGGCTACACAGCAAGCTATCAGTTTAACTTTAAACTACCTTTAGGATTTTTTTTTCCCTTTCTTCCCTTGAAAAAATAAACTTCCAGCACTTTCTCCAATACTTTTAGACATGTTCACCATGAAAGATTGGTCTTGCTGTGATTGGAAATGAGATTTTAGAAATTTGTTTTAATACCATTAAGGTTTTATTTTACATATTATCTTATAACTTTTAATGACTATATATATCCCACTGTAAAAAGTAGACAGTTGATTTTGCACAGCTGTGAAAATATACACATTTATTTGTGCTTTTCTATTATAATAAATGCCACAGATGATGATTTTTTCCATATGGGATCACATAAAGACCTGAGCATGAAAGAGAACTATTATTTTTTCCCCAAGGGATTTTAGGCAGAAATATTAAGAAATTTACTTGAAGATGAATCATCATCAACCCCACTTATTCACGGATCTTCCAGTATTCTCTCAACAGTGTGCAGGTGAACTGATTAGGAATTTAAGAAATATGAGCATAAAATTTGGTAGAGGGCCATTTAAACCTAGCTAGCTCCCATATACAGAAAACAGATCTTTTATGGATGTTGTCAAAAATGTGAAAAGTGTATGAAGAATCTAACAAATTAATACATCAGAATATTTTATTGCTAAAAATGTAAATTCCAAACTATTAGTTTGCTGGGGAGATAGCTCAGTAGAATAAGCGCTTGCCTGGCAAACACTGGGTCCTGAGTTCAATCCCCAGTACTGCAAAAATATTAGTTTGCTGTTCATGTGAAGAATAGGTAGGAGCGTAGAATCATAGTAGCAAAGATTAATCTAAGAATCTTTCTGTGAAATAAAAGATATTATGCAAGTTATTGCTTCTTTTTCCTATCACTCAGGTCAGGCGCAAGTAGCTCTCCAACATGTTCTGCTGACACAGGACATGATACTGTTCTTCTCAAGAGGAAATACTGCGACATAAGGACATGCCCACGCTGGCTGTTTGAAAATGGTAACTAATACACAGGAGCTATGTTATTGCCTATCTGTTCAAATATACACTCTCTTCTGTATATAATAACACAGAACCAAAAGCAAAACTGAGGTTCCGATAGGAGGAAAATAGTGTGTCTTCTGAATGTAGATGGATGATAAAAAGATCATACTAACAAGCTGGCCCGTGCACCATCCTGGAGCTGTTAATAATTTTTTTTTTTTTTTTTTTTTTGCGGAACCGGGGATTGAACTCAGGCCCTTACGCTTGCCAGGGAAGCGCTTATTCCACGGAGCCATCTCCCCGGCCCTTGGAGCTGTTAATATTAAGTTTTTGTACAAAGAACAATATTATTAAACAATGTGATTTTTACAGAGGCACTTTGGTAATATTATTTGTCAAACTTAGGTAATTTGCTTAATTCAAATTAAGATTTTAAGCTAGTTTCCTTCCCCAGCATTGTAGTATAAATAACTACTATACGTTCTAAAATTTTTGTGGTTGGTGATGCAAAATAAACCTCTCCCAACTGTAGTATCATAGTTGAGAAACAAAGAAGGTCCTTTCTTGTAAAACACACTTTTGAAATATTTAAAATCCAAGTTATCTACTCCATCACATAGCTATCAGAATTTATTTGAAATATGTAAAGAAAAACAAATTTAGCCATAATCACTTTCGCCACTTGATTACTTAATGCAATTTAGACAACTATGACAAGGTCTCTAATCTGTTTCTCATATTTCTTTCATGCCCCAGACACAAGTGACGTTTATTCTTTTTTCAAACAAAGATAGCTAAGTTATTGGTTTCACTTAACCAATAGGATTCCCCACCACTCCCTTTATCACTATCAAAGCAATTCAATCAGTGTTTGGAACTAATATCACCACAAGTAAAAATAAAATCACATGTAACACTCATTTTAGGAGATTAAAAGTTTACTTAAAAATTACAGACAGCAAAGATAAGACAAATACCTTTTCCTAGTCATACAAATACAGCAACTTAGAGCTGGCTTGGTACATGGTCACATGTTAAAAGTAAATATAATGGAGAAAAGAATGGATCCTTCTATTTATCTGCCATTTATCATCATTTAGTAAGTATACCAGTGAGTACTGGAAGACAACTGCATAGAGAGATTAGAATCATAGTGTTGTTGATTAATACACAGGATATAAGAATACAAAAACAAAATAGGTACAGATACACAATTAACATGCAAGTTAAACTATCATTTTGAAGAAACAGGACAGAATTTAGTGACTACAACTGAAAACTGTGTTACTAATATATTGTTGTATCAGTATATCATGGTATTTTACATGGCATAGAATTTCTTCCACTTTCAGCAACGTTTGGCAAACTAGAACAGATGGACCCTATTTTGAGTAACTTTAAGATGAAAGAAATCAAGTGGCAATTCTATTAAATGCTTTTCTAAACACTCTAAATTTTAAAAATGCCATAATCTCATGCCTATCACCTCCAGATTTGAAACAAAGCCATGCATTGGATTCTACAACTTGCACTGTCTAATACAGTAGTCCAAAGCCACACCTGGCTGCTGAGGACCTGAAATGTGACCAGTCAAAACTGACATGTGCTGGACTACAAAATGTATACTAAATTTTGCATGAGGGAACGAGGGAAGATAAGATATAGAATTAATAATGTTTCATATCAGTTGCATGTTGAAATAAATTACACCTTTTATCATGACTACAAGATTAAAAATGACTTTGTGGGTCACATTGTGTTTCTATACTGGCCTTAGCATTTACTGTCATGAATCAGGTGGTATTACCTCCCGGAGCGCTGTCAGTGCACTCTGCACAAGCTTACTGCAAAATGTATTCTTACTCCTTTGCAATTTTAAGACTTCACAAAATATGTACTCCTTAGAAAATGTCAATTACTCTGAAAGAACTTCATTCAATGCAGACTGCTACTATACTGGGGGAGAACAGATTTCAGAAATGCAGCAGTGCAGCAAGTGAAGGAAAAGCTATATGACAATCTTAAGACAACACTGATTCCAATTTATGACCTTTCCCTTAAAGTTCCTTACTGTTCAACTCAGTAAGTGACTACTTGCCCAAGATACTTGGATTAAAAAAAATTCAGAAGATATTAAAAATATCGTTACTGATTTTTGCCCCTCTTCTCCTGCTCTTTTTTCCTTTAAAGTTTTTATAGTAGAGTATATAAATATTTGGTGTATCTGTAACCCCCTCATCTTTTTTTTTCCAACTTGAAAACAGTAAGTTAATCTAGTACACAGTCCATTTCTCTCCTAGAACATACTCACAGTGGTCACTTCAGTCCCAAGTCAGCATCAGTCATGCACTGAACCTCCCACTAAGCCAGGGCCTAATTACACTCCTCCTGTACAGCTGGTTTCTCATAGCTCAGGTGGGAATGTTTTCACAAACTGTTTAATCTTTTTACATCAGGTAAGCTGACAAAACGGCTCTGAAAGTCACAGGTGAACAGATAATGAAACTACAGTACGGTATTATTCATAAAAACTTCTTCCTCATGTCAAAGATGTCCTGGGAAAATAACTCTTTTGAACATACCTTTGTATTTCACCATTACGACAACACGGAAAGCTACTAGGATTTAGGGAGAAATAAAAATAACCTGAACTAGGTGGTTCAGGGCATATTAATACAGAAACTGAAGACTACAACAGTTTTTCTTAGAGTTCAGCTGCCTGTTTTTTAAGACATTCATTTCATCACATTTATTATTGTGCTGTACACACAGGAAGATATTACAGCTTAAAATTTCACATCTATTTTCAAACCATGTACATAAACAGTGTGTGAATTATGTTACGAACTCTAGCCTAAATACCCTAATAATTCATTTCAAGTGAAATAATTTTTCAGTTGCACACATATATTACTCTACAATATACTTCTCGCGAAAAGAGACAATGGTCTCTGAAACTGCTGACAGTTCAGTTAGATATTAGCTCAATAATCGGTTATTTACAGAGCACCTACCATGATCACACTCAAGACTATACTCATTCTTTAACAAGTAAGAAAAAACAATCTGCTCCAAATGCATGACTCTGATGAGGAAGGACAATATGTAAGCATTTCTAATAGAACGCTGTTTGACTTAACATCTGGACATGTGAAATTGTAAATCTTTATGACACAGTAGTCAATTGTATTGTCTTCACTTTATAAATATAAACAATTTAATGTATGCTGCATAGTACTTTAAGGAAAGTGATTGGCAGACATAAAATTAAGGTTGATTCCTTGAAGTTATGGAATAAAAACCAGAATATGGTATCATGTATAAACCATTAAAAACTTAATATAAGCAATTTATACAACTGACTAATCAGGGCAAATTGGTAGTTGTGTTATATTTCCAACTTTTTTAGAGGGAGTTGGCCTAGAAAAGAAAACTGACTTCTATGAACACCAAACAAATACAAAAATAAAATCCTTTGGATAAAATTCTTTGTAAAAATCATCATACAAATTCAAGCTCCAAATGTGATAGGTATGCATGCGTGTTTGTGTGTAGCCACTCTAATCTGGGTATCTTAGAAGTATCTGAGTTTGACTTGCAATGCTGCATAGTTACCTTGTGTTTGAATCTGATTATGTATCTCGTGTAAGATGGGTGCTTTTACCTTGAAATTATCATAAGAATTTAGACAGTGAAGAGATAGCACTAGTCTTTCCTCTGTAGCCTTTATCTATTCTGACCCAACCCTATACCATGCAAGGCATTTATGCAGTATGCTCAATATGTACAAACCTGCACACAAACGCTCAGGGAAACAAGTCGAGGAAGCAAAATAATCAAATTGAAACCAACAGTAACCATTTTCCTAGTAGGGTTTCTGAAAATTGAGAAGGCTGTCAAATCAACAATTAGGACCTTGCACACCACCCAACATGGACATATAATATAGAAACCATTCCCATGGAAGACATACGTAAGACAATGCTCCAAAATGGGCCACGTGGACTAAAGCAGCAAGTCGAACAGTGAGGCAGTCAGAGCGCGTCTACTAGCTACTATGCTGGTAGTAGTTTATAAAAAATACTATACATATTAAAATGTTAAGAGCTAGGAACATATCTAACATAGTTTTGCTTTTTCTTTTTTTGCCACTAAATATAAAATTTTATTCTAAGTTGACTACATCTTTTACACCCTGAGGAATAACAATAGACCAATTAAGAGAAATATCAGGGTTAGCTTTGAGGATCCTACTGTTATTGTCCATAAAGCACAAACTATATATAGCTAATATTCTTGGAAGCACAATGTTTGACCAGCAGACTAAGCTACTGCCATATATATATATATATACATAGCAAAGAGTTTGGTTTTACAGTGTTACCATGGCCTGGTAAGAGTAGAGAAGTCAAAATTGGGAGCCTGAGGTTTCCCCTCCTATACCAGAGCTCAAATGGACACACTGATTTTGTCTTCACTATGAACACAGCATATCACTGCCCTTTAGAAATACATATTTAAGAAATTTCTGTAAAGCACTTTGGAATCTTAACTATATTTTTATGAAATTATAACAATTATTTGCTGTTGTGAAATACGAAATTCCTATCTCTCTCTCATACACAAATATACAAAATGACACATTTAAAAATTTATGTGTTTATTTTTCTGATTATCTGAGAAAAAAAAAAGGTCTAACTCCCACCCCCAACTATCCTATATCATGCTGAATCTGGAAAGGAAGGAAGATCCTTAAAGTAAGGCAAAGGATTCACTTAGGACAACCATTTGATCTTTATTTTGAGGCAGAGTGTCAGTTTTTCTTTGAACACATGCTGTGTAAGCTTCAGACTGCATGTAATTGTGCATGGTATCACCTTTTATGTGATGACTGTAAGCCCCAAAAGGTTAGCTGTCAGAAAGAAAGAACTACTTGGTATGGTGCCTACAAATGTGAACTAACTTAATACAATGCATTAGGATCCTGTCTCTTTAATCACTCCCTCATGGGACCATGCCTAGCTATGGGAATGAAATTTGATAAATTTTCCATACTGAGCTCCACTTAAACATTACGTTCACTGTAATATAATCTTGCTTCTCCCAAAAGAAAGAAAGGCACTCAAATTAACACAGTAAATACCTATTTTCTCAAAGACACTGAGTGATGGGAGTAAAATCACTGGGGTTTATCTTTCTTGTGTACTGCCTTAATGACACTGAACTTGCCCAAAGTTTTCAGTGCCACCTCCACGAAGGCCTCCGACATACAGGAGCTCACTACAGAGCACGGGGCAGTGATGGCTAAGGGCGCTACAGTCTGTGGTTCTATTTGAGAAACTCATTCAAAAGGCCAAAGGTCCGGCTGTTCAGTGTTGTTCAAATTTCTTAGCAAACTTTAAATATCTTAAGGTATTAAAATATAACTTTCTGGTAACAAAATAACAGTAAATTTAAATAGGTTTTTTTTGTTTTTTTCAGAAAAAGGAAAAAAAAAAAAACTTAATACCATTTACAACTACAATGTTACCATCTAAAAAAAAAAAAAACTTAATACCATTTACAACTACAATGTTACCATCTTCCATAATTCAAAGGAACTAGGATTGACACTGCTATAGAATTGGTAAATCCACTTTAAAATTGCAGTTAGCCCACTGTCAGATATCATTTTGTGCTGTATAAAGAAAAATCCTAAGACTGATAGTTTGTAGCAATATCAGAAGCTCTCTTTACTTACACATACACACACACACACACACACACACACACACAAGCATGAATTGGTATTTGAATATATTTAAATTACACAATGCTTACCATATATGTTGCTTTCCATAAAAACCCCAAAACTTTTCTTTCCATAATCAGTATCACATTAGGCCTTATTTAAAGATATAAGTGGCTTTTAGTGACAATCTGTATATATCAATCCCTATTAATAATTACTGAAGTGGGGAATAATCCCTAGCACTTTAAAAAAAAAAAAAAGCTTGAAGCTTTTAATTTAAATTAGAATAATCCCATAGAAATAAGAAATATGACTGGCATCTGGGCCCACAGTTTCTAAGGAGGTAATAAGGGATGTATTATTATGTATCAAGTCTTTAATCTTAAAAAAAAATGACTCACACAGGTTCAGAAAGTATCTACAAGGTCCACAGTTCAAGTTGGAGAGAAAAAAAGCAAAAACGCTTCAGGCTGTTACTGAAGTCCAACCATTTCCTCACTGCCTGCCTGCCCCAGGTGGCCCTCACCGAGCGACCAGGAGCAAGCAGTATTCTTAATGCAGATGGGTTTCATCTCTTCGTGAGCTTTTAATAAACACTGAAGTTCAGCTGATAAATGAACAGATACCCTTCTTGGCTGGGATTTAACAAGTTAAAACAAGGTAACAAAATGGAGAAAACAAATCTAAATCAACTTTTTCTAAATGTGATCCGTTCTTCCTAAGTATTAGGAAGCTAGAAGACATTATTTACCACAACTCATTTATTTTTCTCACTCTTCACTAATCTTTCCTTTCTTCAGATAGTTAATCAGTCATCAATAAATACTTAGTTACTCCTCACAGTGTACCAGGCACACAGTAGACTATGGAAGCAATTTATTACCAACATAAATGTATCTAAAAAATTAAAAAGGTAGGGCAAGGGTTATGGTGGCCACAGTTACAGATCTTATTGCTTTTTGCTTATCAGTAGTATCTGATGAAAATGTGTCAATCTTTTAACAACTATGTATTGTCAGAAAACTAAGACTAACAAGCCCCTGAAAATAGATATATTCTTTTTACTGCATGAACTCATTTATTCAAAGATCTATTATTATGTCAGTGGGTTTAAATGTCAAGCACTTCAGAAAAAAACCACAGCCATATAAGACAATTCTAAGTTATCTTGTGGATGCACACTCAAGAAATGCATATTTGAGAACTCAAGTGGCACATAAAAGTCACATAATAAGAGTATCCTTTGGATATCTGTATTTTTCACTCCCTACTTAGAACTTTATAAGGAAGACAGAGACCAAGATATACCGAAGGACTGCATGGCTTCAGAAAGTGATGGGTTGAGCTTCAGAAGATATAAAGGCAGTTAACATGAGAGACAGGCAAGGTATCAGAAGCTACTGGATGGCAGGTATAAAAAGGCATGGAGTACTATAAAAATTTAGCTACTGTCCATATGATATTATCTATAAGCATGTCATGACAGGTACTCATGTCAAAGAATAAGAAGCCTTCTTGTTTGGGATACTAAAAATGATGCTTAAAATAACAGGTACTGCATAAGGCCAGAATTTAGCAATGTGTATTATTGGAATGGATGGGACCACCCATGTCTTCTCTGGGTAGCTTCTACCCAACTCCCACAGGAACAGGAAATCATAAATCTAACGATTTTATCCACAGACCTACACAGATCATGCGATGTTTGATTCCTAACATGCTTTGTACTCAGGGGAAACATATTCATAATGGCAATTATTTTCTCAATTTATAACAAGTATTTTTTGCCCTAGGAAAGAAGACTAACATCTATCTACAGGGACGAAGCTAAGTAATTTTTCTGGTATTCTTAAGTGTGCCACTCAGTTCAACAGTCTGCTATTTGAAAAAACCATGAGGTCAAAATAAGGGACGAAATTTCTTTTCCTTAAGGCAGTGCACCTAACTCAAGCCCTGACTTTCCATAAGAACAAGGCAGGAAAGGCTCGCCTTTCCCTGCATCCCTCTTTCCATCCGACAGACTAGGAAAACGGAAAGGCTGGTGGTTACACTTGTTACTATAGTTACCATTCACACTGTACACACATAGGACAAGAGACAGCTTCCATTCTTAAAGGAACTTTTAAAGGGTGGCTCTTATTCCAGTTTGCTCTGCATGTGTGCATGTGTGTATAGGTGTATGGAGGTGTATAAAATTCATTAAACTGAGAGGGTTAACAGCTTCAGTAAGTGTCCCTGAAATTAAGACAGAAGAAAATATACAAATGTGCCAGTGACAAAAACATGGAATAGATTGCTAAAATAAAGGAAACAAAATGTGGGAAGAAGAACCAGACCATTTTATAAAGAGGGGTTATAATAAGAACATAGACATAACTGGCCCTTCTTCCCACCCCTATGCTGCCAACCTGAAAAACTCGAGCCCTTGTTATGAAAAAGATAAAATATAGCTATAGTGCGGATACTTTGGTATGGCATCTCTGACAAAATCCAGTTTCAAAGTGTTGTTTCATTTTTAAAACCAAAGGACTAATCTCTAAAATTGTTCTTTCCCCCCAGCTTTTGCCAACAAACTTAAAGCACCTAACTAAAATTGTGTAGTTTATCCAGTATAACTTCAATAACTTAAATTTTTAAGGAAATTTTTATGAATACATTTTTCCATATATTTTTCACTTTATATGAGTAATTATGGAAGAAAAAAGGCAGTAATAACTAAAAATGGCATTCTGGGATTTAAAAACAAGTTCATGTTTTAAGGGCTCACTTGACTGTTTTGGCATATACCAAATGTGAGGTAAAAATAATCTACTAAAAACAGTAAAGTTAATTTTCCAGTACTGCAATTACATACCCACCTCCTTTAACATAGCCATTTTAAAAAATGGACTATATACACTGGAGGCAATTTTTGACATAAGTTCTAATACTTTTGACTTTGGCTATCTTAGACTGTAATGTGAACAGACTACGCTAGATAGGGAAATGGTTTATATTTTCCCCCTATCCATTAATCTAGCCATATGAGTTTCAAAACAACAGTAAGATCAAGTCCTTTTGCAAGTGTGTTATGTTCTTCAACTGAAACACAACATAAGGTCTTAATCTAAAATTTGCCTATGTAGCAAGTGAACTGAAGTGGGCAGAGGTACTTGTCAATCAAATGAGCAGCCCCAAGTATATAAAGGATGAGGAGGAAAAAAAAAAAAAAAAAAAAAAAAAAAAACTATTTAGCAGGAAGAAATTATAGAATTACTTTATCCCCAAAGGAATGCCAATTCTTAAATAAAAGATTTCCTAAGGACTTTTAACCTAAAGGACAGGAACATAGCCAGCTTCATAGCAAAGTTCATGCAACTATGTCAATGAGACAGGAAAGCAATATTGCACTAAAAGGGGAACCTTGAAGGATTAATCCACCTCTTTCATTGACTCAAAGTAACTAGCCACTTCCTGTATGCATTGGCATACCTGACTTGTTCTACGTTCCGGCAAGTGGATAACACTTGATCAATGAACCTGTGTTCCATTTCTAGGCCCATGGAGTCTGTAGCTGGGGTCCGCTTCAGGCGTTTGGTTTCCTGGGAATAGCCTTGCTTGCTACAGTCATTCAGTCCATCCACTTCCATTGCCTGAGACAGACGGGGGCCTCCAGGGATGAGGTGCAAGTCATTCAATGTCTCCCCAGGACTGTCTGCAGGTGCCACCTGTGTCACGCTGTGAGACAGCCTGCTGCTGAAGTAATGTTGAAGATAGAAAATATGCCGCCTACAATGGAGGGGGGGGGGAAGGAGAAAGATGAAGAAAATCACATCAAAAGAGGCAAAAACATTCAGGAGGAGGAAGCTGGTCATTTCATTTCCGAGCATAAAGTACAGAATCTGCTGCCCACTTCACCACCCCAAGGTAGCTGGAGGAAGGAAGAAAAACTGTCGAGATGAAACTTCTGGGTATCTGGATCAAGGCCCTCAACACTCGATTATTGGTGTGTAAGAAAGACTACTGTGCTACAGGTTCTTCAGTAGGCATTTACTGAGATGGTGACAATGCCTGGCACTATTACTCTCCAGTAACTATGATATGAAAGCAGAAACAGGTCTTAGCCCAGTATGCCTTAAGTTAGCAAGCAAATAAAACAAAAAATTTACTGCAGGCATCTCTTCAAAGACAAGTGATTCAACCACACAAGAGATTAAATGTTTTTTCTACAAACTTAGTTTATAGCCTTTATCCAATCCTTTTAAAAGTAACAATTAATACATCTGCCAATGTTGGTCTTATCAAAAAAATCAACAGAATTTTCTTCTAAATTCATCAATGGTCTTAAAATGTACTGGGCTCTGAAGAAAGCATGTTAAAAGAGAGTTCCTCTTTTCCCACTGAGGAAAGCAGTTCTCCTGCCCTTACAATCAGCTGGAACGGTCTGCTAAAAATGAAGACCCATGTGTCTGATCTTTTTAATTTAGGGGCACGGATCTGCACAGGTTCTAAGCTATATCTCATCGTTCATATTATCAGCTCTAAGTCCCTAAAAGATAACTCTATTAAAGATAACTTCCTGCACATGCTGGAGTAAAGAGAGAATGTATAGTGTACCATTTTATAAAGGGTAAGAGGTAAAGAACACATAAATTCTCTAATAGAGTAGAAATCTAGCCTGTCAAACACATCATCCCAAGTTTTTTCCTCTCTTACTCCAATTTTACTTTTCTCAAATCCTTCAAGTCTTATTATTAAAAATACTTAAGTAAGAAACAGCAACAAAGCTCTTTTAATATCAAACCAGTTTCAACCCCCAAATTAAAGTGTTATAGATTAGATACAAGGGTCTTCATTTTTAACAAGCAGTTCAAGGTGCTTCTACAAGAGCAGGCGAACTGCTCTCCTTAGGGGGAAAAGAAGAACTGAGCCTTGTAACATGCTTTCTAATACGATCTATCTTCTACTTGAAAATGAGCAGTAAGAGAGGCTTGGTTTTAAGAGAAAAAGAGAATTCTCTATTTATGAAGATGACAAAGGTGAGTTCTACCTTCTGAATAAATTTAGTGTGGAAATTGGGTTGACCAAATTTCCTCAGCCTACAAGAAAGCTTGGGGTAGGAGTGGGCTTTCAGTAACTTAAGAAATATACACACTTTTAAAATGACTATTTCTTGTCCAGTATGAGCCTTTTGTTTGTAAATGTACAGTCTACATTTATGGAGATGGAGATACCTCCAAACAGAAAAACACCCCAAGGAATTGAAGTAAGGTGTCCACATATCAACTTCATTCCAACATTAAATTTATATTACTGTCCAATGTACTTAATACTAGTCTTTTTCCTGGACACAAAGAAAAATTCCCTAACATTTTTAATTTTTAAGAAAGCACTAAGATTATACTTAAGACCAATACCTTCCTAAATAAATACATAAATTGAGCTTACTTTATTCTTAAGACTCCAATTAATAACCTCAATCCCGACTACACATCAAAATTACCTGTAGAATTTTTTAAAAACAAATCAAAACAAAAAAATGGTAACACTTAATTCCAGATAAGGTAAATACCAGGATATCCAAAGAGAAAGTCCAGAAATCTTTGCAATTGTTTTATTTTGGAAATAACACAGGTTATTCTACTATGGAATCAAGGTTGCATACTATGACCCGAAGCCACAGGAAAGATCTGCAGGAGGACCTTCATACTGATGAGGAGGGAAAGGAAGATACAGGAACATAAACTCTCTCAGTCCTAGCTCCACAATCAGATGGCTGTAATTGCAGAAGTCAGACATAACAACATCTGCAACTCTCATAAGAACACACAAAGTTTCATGTAGGAAATGCCCTCGTCCCGTCTCTTACCTATGACACCACAGAGTTTCATGTCCTGGGTAGGAATCAATAAGATCACTGCTGAATTTCACTTCTTTTTCTAGAAGATGGGAGAGATTTATATTTGGCTCCTCTGTCAAAGTCACTTCTTCTTCATCTTTTGGAAGAACCACGGCTGCCTCATTTCTCAAAGGGTTCTGCTCCAATACAGAATCATCTATCACAGTTTGGCTAATCAAAGACTTTAACAAAAACTGGCGGTAGTGGAATCCACTGTGGTCTGAAACGTGCATGGATGCCCAATGTTTAGTAGAAGATAGTTCATCAAGAAGAATCTTGTAGGAAGAAAAAAAAGGAAGTGAGAAAAAGAATTTCCAAAGGCTTTTTTTTTTTCCATTAATACTTGAGATTTCTCTTGGATTTATTTCTTGCTGGGTTTTTTTTTTGATAATCATTCTCATCAATATTTGTATACAATATCAAGCACAGCACTGTCATTTAGAAGCCTAATATAAGCTAGTGTCTCTTTTCATTATAAAGTAATGGTGAGTTTTTAAAATTACACAAGTAAGGACTTGTCATCTTTTCCCTTGACCCTGACTATACATGCTGACTGGCACACAGAGAAAAGCCAAATTCTAAAATAATGATAATCCATAGAGTGCTCATTTACAACACTAATGTAGAAAGAGAAATGTAAACTCAGAACATAAACTTTCTTCTCATATTTAATATGCATATATCTATCTGGTATTAACATGCACCACAACAGACTCAATGTAATCAGTTGTGCTTTCCTACGAATGCCAGTAGTGGAAATGCCACACTGTTTTGTTTACTACTTAATTCTAAAGAGCTCAGCCAAAAGCCATGATGCATGACTAACAGGAGTTTGCCAGGGTCTGTGACTTCTACAACTTGCCCTACACTCACCATAAATGATAAATGTTTTTAAAAAAAATAAATAAAATTCAGCAGCAAATTGTTCAAGACTTTATAGTACCAATCCTGCAAACTAAAGAAAAGCTGCATTCATGAAAAAATAAGTTGTTTTGTACTGTCTTGGACAGGCAGCAAACATAAATGACTTTTGATCAGTGAAAGGTCTTATCAGAAGCTGACCACATTCCATCAGAAAATTCTGAGACCTGCTAAGGAAAAAAAGACATATACCTGTGAATATAGAGCCAGCACATGGTGGCGGACAGCTTCACATGCTTGTGTAAGGACCCTGGCAATGCCTTCTCCTATAGCAAGATCCCTTCTCCACTTCTCACACAGCCCTCTTCTCTGCTACATGACAAACTTCCATAGCCCTTGTGTGATCCACTGCATACAGGAAAGAACTGTCTATGTGGGTCTTCATTACCACGAAATTGTGCAGGCACTTTAGTTTCTCTCTCTCTCTCTCTCTCTCTCTCTCTCTCTCTCTCTCTCTCTCCTGCAAATATTTGTTCATTCCTAATTGATGATTTCATGCCCCTAAACCCCCTGGCATCAGAATGAATATGTAAATTATGAATGAATGAATGAATGAATGAACGAACAATTTAATGAATGAGATGACAAGTACAAAGGAGTAAGATTACTTCAAGTCAGGACATTCAATTTTTATCGGGGAATGTCTTGAATATTTCCTTTAAGTTGTAATAAATTTATATGCAGACATCTAAACTTATTCTAAAGGCAATAAAGTCTCTGAGCAACTCACAGTAAGCTCATTTATTTGATTTTAAAAGGTGAGCAAAAATAGTACCAAATAAAAATCTGCCTGAAAAACAAATTAATTCAGTGTTACTACATTTTTGAAGTACCAGTCTGCAGGACATTTAAGCTATAATACAGCAGCTTTTTACTTTTGGAATTGCTTCTCAACCTGGTCTGAAAAGACTATTTAAAATAAACTTATAGATAGAAATCCTTTATGTTTAAGATACTTCTACACAGAAAAATGGAACTTACTGTTCAATTTTGAGGCAAAAATAGTACATATATGAAACATTTTCAACAAAACAACTTAATTTCTTTTAAAAAGTGCCTTTAAAAAAGAATCTATAATCTTTTTCTTAAGATATATATTGAGATGAATTGTTAAAGAAGAAACTTAAACTGGAATTTCAGGGCATTTTCTTACTAGAACATTAAAGCAGAGATAAAGGCAATGGTGAGAAGATAGCAATGACTTTTTTTTTAATGTATTTGGTACAGGGTCTCACTAGGCAGCTCGGACTCATAGTGATCCTCGTTTCAGCCTCTCCAGAGCTGGAATTGCAGGCATGTGCCACCACATCCGGTCTCGGTGGCTGGATCAGCGTGCCCAGGGGTGGGGACAGGGCTAGCACAGCATGTGGTGCCAGGGATTGAACCCTGGTCCCTGCAATTGCCTAAGCAGATGCTTAGTCCACTGAGATATTTTGCCAGCCCAACAGCAATAACTTGTATATAAAGAAGCACCAATGAATGAATATCTTTTTATCACATACCTTAAATATCTGTATGCTTTCTTACTTATATATAAGAATGAGTAACAAAACTATAATAGCAGGGCTATGAGACTGAGAAATAACAGATTTAAAAGGAATACTGAAAATATGTATTAGTGACCTTCCATTTTTAAAATATTTGATTTTCTTTATGATCATAAAAGTAATAAAAATGATCACTATAGAAAATTCCAATGACAATATAAAAAACAAACAAAATTCACCTATTAGCCTCTTAGCCACTGATCCTTACTTATCCTTAACAGTCTGTCATATAACAAAGATTTCAGATTTTTTTATGCATGCATACACAAAGTTTATTTTTAACACAAAAATGGAATACTAAAGATTTTGCTCCACTTCAGTTAAAAAAATTTTATGACACTAAACATTATAACTCTTAGGACAGTCATCCTAAGTACAATTCCCCTATTTATTTCTAGTCTTGTATAATCTATGTGCATACCTAACTGTATATTCAAGAGAAAGTTGTAGATGTATACTGGCTGGAACAGAGAACAGTATGATAAGGTTCTTTTTTTTTTCCCGAACCAGGGACTGAACTCAGGTCCTTGCGCTTGCCAGGGAAGCACTTATTCCACTGAGCCATTTCCCCGGCATGATAAGGTTCTTGATACAGATTATCAAAATGTCCTCTAGTAAGGATGAATAATTTATACTCCTATTGGAAGTACACATCAATACCTATTTCCCATCAGTACTTCATTATTGTGGTAAATTAAAAAAATCACATTCATTTTAATCTAACTTTATCAGTTTTCTTATTTCCTTATGAAGTTCCATCTTGCCTAATTCTTTTTATTTATAAATTGTTTAATCTATTTGTAATAGTCATTATTATTCTTATAAGTTTGCAAGAAATATTTAGAGATATTAAGCCTCTATCTGCCGTACATGCTGTTTTTATGAATACTCCAATTGATTTTAATTTTTTCCATGTTTACTGAGGCATAACTATCAAAAACTGTACATATTTATGCTTATATGATTTTATATGTATAATGTGAAATGCTGATCACAAGCTAGCATCCATCATCTTACTTTATCACTTTTTTTAATGATAAAAGCATTTAAGAGCTACCCTCTTTGCAAATTTTAAGTATACAACACATTCTTAACTATAACCAATACACTGTACAATAGTTAGAAATTTTTTCATCCTAACTGAAACTCTGTACCTTTTGCCCCGTAACTACTTCTTCACCTCATCCCTCACCCCTGCAGCTATCACTCAATAATCTGCTTCTATGAGTTCAAGGGCTCCAGAATCCATAAACAAGTATGCTTTGCAGTGTTTGGCTAGCTTACTTCATTCAGCTTATGTCCTTCAGGTCTCTTTTTTTCTTCACACAGGTTTTTAATCCACTAAGAGAACAGTTTTGTGTACAGTGAGAGATTAAAAACTTAACTGAATTTTTTTCTGAAAAGTCAATCAAGGACAGCAGATATGGCTCAATGGGAGAGTGCTTGCCTAGCATATACTAGGCCTTGGGTTTGGTCTCTGGTATGACCAAAAAAGAAAAGAAGACATTTACATCCAAGCCAATCAATTCTTACAGCATTACCAAATGGACAAAAGGTATTTTTTCATATTCATCATTAATGAAGTCTGTAGATTATATAATGAGATTTGTTTCTGGGCTTTATATTTTTTTCTATTATTAAGTCTTGGAAATAGTACCAACAGTTTTAATTACCCTATCTTAAACATTTAAATATCTAATGGCATAGTGTTCTTTTTCAACAATTTCTTAGCTATTTTTAAAATTTTCTTATCAATTCCTGAAGCAAAAAAATAAACTGGTGGTTTTCAGTATGTACGCAGGTTAGTGCAGACATCATGCTATCTAATTTTAAACATGTTCATCAGCCCACACCCAACAAACTCGCTCATTCATCCTACACGTCACCCTACAGTCACTCTCTCCAGCTACTGACACTTAATATATCTGCCTTGCCAATTCTGAAAATATTAGATAGATGGAACCACAGACTATGCGGCCTCTTCACTTTGGCTGCTTTCAATCGGCATAATGTTTCAAAGTTCATTCACTGTAGGATCGGTACTTCATCTCCTTATTAAGGCCAATGTTCCATTCTATGAATATATGTACCACATTGTGTTTTTTCTCAGATGACAAACACTTTGGATGTTACCACCTTTTAGCTATTATGAGTAATCTGGCTATAAATATTCTGATACAAGTTTTGGTATGAACATGTTTTCAGTTTTTTGGCATTTATCCCTAGGAAGAGACTATGGTCATTTTTTCCAAGAATATAATATATTGGTTGTGAATGTGTATTTTTATTTATACTAATGCTGTTTAATTTGAAGAAACGTGAAATTACTTTCCATAACGACTATAACATTGTACATCCTTACAAACCCATAAACAAGGTCCCAGTTTCTCCATGTCCCTATCAACATTCGATACTGCTGTACTTCCGCCATTCCCACTGGCCTGATGCAGCATCACACCAAGCTTCTGATTTTCATTTCCTTAATGGCTACCAATGATGAAAGTTTTCCTACTAGCCATTTGTATATATTTTTATTTTTTATTTTAAAGAATACAAAATAGTGACAGAAAGAAAACAACATTAGAAACAAGATTTCATTAAACAAATACGAATTCAACAATGGTTGTTGTTTTACATGATGCTATCTTTAAATTAGGTGCTCAGATTACCAGATATAAATGTGTAAGATACATTTAAAGAAAGAAAAAATAACAAAGAAATTAAAAGAAATTTAAAAGAAAAAAAATAGTAAAAAAAAATTTTTAAGCTTAACTGCTCCTTTCAAAAAACCTGCACAAATGAACAACACAATTATCCAAACTATTCTGAATACATATCTATATTTTTTCCCTTCTTTCATTTGTCCATTTACTCATCCCACTTTTTCCTTCCCATTGAACAACTTCTTTCCCTTTCACAATATCTGTTGTACCTTTTAGATTTTCATTATTCTTTTTGGTTCTCACACTAGCAAGATAACATGATTTTTGCACATTTGGATCTGATTTATTTCACTCACTAATAGAGTCTCCAACTGCATCCATTTATCTACAAAAGTCTCAGATTTATCTTTTCTTATAGCTAATATTCCTTTGTGTAAAAATACCATATCATTTTAATCCATTTCTCAGTTGATGGACATTTGGGTTGTTTCCAAGATTTAGCTCTGACAAACTGCACTGCTATAAACATTGGTACCATACATCGCAGTGCTATGATGATTTTACTTCCTTTGGAGAAATACTCAGGAGGGGCTGAATGGGACCTCCGCGTACTGATTTCCATCACGGCTGTACCAGCCTGCACTTTCGTCAACGGTGAGAAGCCTCTCCAGAATTTGTTATTGGTTGACTAGCCACGTGTATAGAATTTCTGAAGAAATGACCTTACGCGCTTCTTTGGGCGGCATACTAAGTTATCAACTTTTAACTAGTAATAATAAATTTGCTTGGCTATGAGTCTTTCCTCCTGCCCTACCCTTAAAGCTAACATTATTTTAAAGTTCACTTAAGTATGTTTATTTATTTTTGTTACTTAATACATAGTCTTGCCACTATGTAGTCCAGGCTGGCCTTGAACTCTGTTGTTGCCTAGCTGGCCTCAAACTATTAATCTTTCTACCTTAGTCTCATCAATGCTGGAATTATGGGCTGGGATTACATATGGTTATCACCACACATGGCTTAATTAAATACATACTCATTTTAAAAAACATATACATCACAAAGAAACACAAAACAGAAAATACAAGTTTCATAATTCCACCCCTATCTTCTAAGCTTTTTTCATGGCTAAAAAAGAAAAATCTATAGCAACACTGTATATGTTCGAATATGTAGTAAACATATATTTTTGCCAAGCACAGCTCCAAAGTGCTTTACTGCCTCAGTCTTACACAAAATCTACCCCATGGTTAGTTTTATATCTTTAACCTAGTGTGAATTTTTCTTTAATAGCTTTCTAAAGTACAAGATTTTAGTAGCACCACAATATTCCACTTTGTGATAGAATAAGATGTAAATAATCCTTCACTATTGGAGGTTCTTTCTAGTTTTAAACCTACCATAGTAAGCCTGCTTTTATGCAGTAAACCTTCAAACTGAACGTAACAGCCCAGAGCGCTCAGTATGGGCACTGTGACAGCCACCATATGTGGCTCCTTCCCGCCTCCTGCATGCCGGATGAGTGAGGAATTCTCATCATCACTGTTTTATAAAGGAAGAAGCCAGAAGCAAAAGAGGCTGGGTGAGTTCTTCAAGCCACACAGAGAAGCTTGTGGCAACGCTAGGACACAAATTAGGCTCATGACCCCAGAGTGAAGTCTTTCATCATAACACCACTCTGTCTTTCCCATTACTTCCCTAGAATAAATTCTTAGAAGCAGAACTGTTAAAGGTAACTTCCCCCTTTTAAGTCTATTAATAATGCAGCCAGGCTGCCTTTCTGTAACAATTCTTATAATGCTCATTTTCATACCTTTACCAATAGTGGATAGTAAAACTTTAAAAACTAAAAAAACAAACCAAAAAACCCTTTAAAAACTCATTTTCAAATTCTTAAGAAAATTCCAGTTCATGTTTACTTTTTTTTTTTTTTGGTACCAGGGATCAAACTCAGGACGACCTTGTTCTTGCCAGGCAGGCACTTACACTGCTGAGCTAGCTCCCCAGCCCTCCCTGTTGTTTAAGTTGCTCTAGACTACCAGCACCTCTGTAATTACTTCTAGTAAGCAAAGCACAGCACTGTGCTCATAGCTGGGCCCAAAGCTGGGTGGCAAACTATGGCACACGTGCCACAGCAGGCTACTCCTTATCACCAAAAGCTTTAAAAGGTTCACCATCACTGGATTATACCAACAGAAGGGAATACTGAAAACTGAGCATTCTTGACAGGGAACAAGAGATGCTGTAGCAATGGCAGTGACAAGGACAATGGCAAGTCCCCCCTCCCCCAGGCATGTCAAGAAAAGGCTGAGTCCAGGACTAGACCCAAGCAGCTACACCAATACCTTACTAATTGACGAGCTGTCATCTTTAACATCAGGTGGTCTCAAGTAACCAGCAACTTCACCTTGGGCTGTTCCTGATGTTATGGGTGTACCACACGGAAAGGTCCATATCACGGGAGGCGTGTTCACAAAGACCTCTCGGCTCACCTTCCCTCCTACCCTGGCCTCTTCACTAGGGGGTAGTGGAGCTGAGACAACCAGCTCTAAAGTACTCCACTTGCCCTGACAGTTTTTACTCCTCCAGTCTGAGAGACAAATGTTTCCAATGAGCTCTAGGCAGATGAAGAGTTACTTCTCAACGTGTCCACTGCACCATGAGCGTCCCTCAGCCCCTTCAAGTGTCATGCTGCTTTGTAACTGATGGTCAGCATTCTAGTTTAATTTGGTGAGGGCCAACTCCTTATCTTTACTACTACGCCCGTTACACAGGGGAAGGGGCTGGGGAAAATGGTTTTGGTACATTTTCACAAATAAATTGCTCTGATTTGATCAAATAAATTGGCAACCAACTTCACCTAAACTTCCTAGAGATCACAGAAAGGAACTAAAATTTAGTGAGCTTCTCTGAGGTGCCTCAGACTTTTCACACATTCACTCTGTTACTTCTTATCAAAGTCCTTACTTTAAAAATGAAAACATTCCAGTAGAAAAGTATGAAGATGAAATATAGGAAGTAAAGCCATGCTTTTATGTTGAGCTGTGGGGGACTCAGGTCAATAATTTCTGACAGTGCCAGTTAAACAGAAGACCCAAGGCTATTATGGGCTACTGGACTCTTTTTGAATATTTTGCTGAGTTTACACACCTATAACATTCAAACGGAACTTAGAAAAAATAGGGTATACCGATGAATGTCCATTTTGTATCTGTGTATTCAAAGTGGTTAGGATAGATATATAGTTGCATTCTCTTAATGAATAGAATGATTTGTTCTAATGGTGTTTGTAAATAGGATCTCAAGTCTGCATCTTGTACAGCAATTAACCACTAAGAAGAATATATGCAGTGTGTTATTTGTTGAAACTGTACTTCGATTTGATTTGAAACTGTCTCATTGCTGTTTATCAATAAAATTTTGGAAAAAAAAAATAAAAATAAATAAATAAATAAATAAAAATGAAAACATTAAAGCTTTACTTTCCACATAATTTGTAGGGGCAGACTTAGCACTCAGGCTGAGGCGACTCTTACGCTTTGCTTTCTGCTCTTCCCTCCTGAAGCCACAGCCATGTGAACCGTAACGGAAAGGGTTACTATTACTAAAGTAAAAAATTATTACTCCAAGTAAAAATTTCTCCATTTGCCCTGGAAGAATTTCTGGGTAGAAAATAGAAGGGAAGGGAACCTTGTCTCATAAGAAGTGAGATGTAGAAAGCAAATGGTAACCTACAATCAAACAAAGCTTCTCCAAGAATCAGAAACTACTTGGGGCACTCTGATCTTCAACTTGGCCTTTAAAAACTAGTCCTAGCTTGTGAAGCTTTTTTTTTTTTAAAAAAAGTATCCTACAATTCTTATGGCAATTTATCATTAAAAAAAATTACCATACTTTAATATATGAAAAGGCACACAAGGGACACCTGGCTCTCATTCTGATGAGTAAATGGGTAGCTAAGTCTTAGCCATTAAAATCCTCTGAAAACCTCCATCTTCTCATTTCTAAACTTCAAAGATTAGTTCAAAAGAGTCCCTAGCCTGCATCCAAACAACCCTGAGGCTGTGGAGAATACTGATCTCTAAATCCACCCTCACTCTGATCTGGTTCACCTGGAATGAGACTTAGGCACCCCCCAGGGAAATTCATAGGATCCACCCTGTGGGGAAACAGCTGGGTGAGATCCACTGCCTGCTCCCCTCCCTGCCTACCAGGTCAGGACTTGTGAAAAGACAGCCAGTAGATCAGCATTCTAACTCACATAACCAGAGGCTACCCTGGCATAATTTCAATTCTAAGACTTAATAATCTCTTCCTGTTTCAGAGCAAGACAAGCTGTGTTTGGTGTTCCCAACTGGATAACACTGCCTTTGGCATCCCAGGGCACCAGCTCAGCCGGGCCCACAAGCGCCCTGATGAGGACATAAACTCTGGGTAACTGCCAGGCTACCTCTGGGGACACGGGCAGTCGGGATCCTCTTGAGTTGCTGGAACATTACTTCTTCTGCTTTACTTCTTTAAAGCTCTTCTGAGGATGAACTGTGCCCAGAAGACTGGCACAGCACACAGGCAGCATGCACAGAACCTTACCTTGGCATCCAGTTTAGCCAGGTGCTGTAAAACCCAGATGCGATGAGACCAGGCATTGTAGTTGCTTGGGTACCTCCCTGCTGCTTCACCACAGACCTCCATCTCTTCCTGTATTAGCCGCTGTGTTCTCTCTGCAGGAATCGTTCCCAAGTTTCCTTTGGTTACAAAGGAAGGCAAGGACGCTTCCTGAATCAGCTGTTGTAGCACCCATCGCCTATTAAGGAAGCATGTGGGATGAAGAGCACAAACCAAAGACCATAAACCAAAGAGGAAAACAACCAGTTCTCTTTGTTCTCAATTTTAATTTCCATACACAGACAATGTAAAACTAAGACTATCTGTAATCCTACCTTTTGGGACAGGTAAGGAGAGATTGGTATTTTTTGCTTTTGAAAATAAACTTAGCAACATGAACGAAGGGGGGAAGGACAAATGGGAAAGAGAAACCGCCCTACAAATTTAAAATCTGTCAAAAAGAGAATGTCATCAATTCTACAATGACACCTCTCAAACTTCATTTGCCTAGAAAATGTAAAGGCAGATGGTCCATGTGTTTTTGTGGTGGTCGTGGTAGTGACAGGCTATCACAGTGGTACCTCAGTTCATGAAGGCTTTTGTTTGCAAATAGAAGCATTTGGCAAATTTTTATTTGTTTGTAAATGAAGCATCAGGTGACAAACACAATCATGGATGGCCATCTTTCCCATACAAACAAATGAGGCCATCTTTTCTAAAATTGGAAAACAAGTTCATGAACCCAGGGACCACTGTAATCAGTGGCTGGTTAAGTATTAGAAGCAAAGTCACAGTTCACATCTCCAATTAAGTGTGCCTGCCTCATTCTGTGTGTGTTTGTTTGCACACGAGAAATGGCATTTTGACACTTTTCATTAAACAAAATTTCCATATTACAGCATAAAATCTAGAAGGAAACAAATAAAATACAATTACTTAAATCATTAAAGAGGTTTTAAAATGTCTTTACTCATATTTTTGTTTAATATTTGCATTAACATTAAATTGAAAGCACTAAAGAATTGCTTCATGTTTAGAGTATTTTATGAAAGCATTCAGAATAAAAAATTTCAAGCCAAAAGTAGAGAAAAATTGAGTAAGAAAATTAATTTCATTATTTTTAAATAACAGACATTTTATTTAACAAAACATTGCTTTATCTAAGCACTGCAGACACGCAGCAATTGATGGGCGCATACACAGCAGTTCCCACCCAGAACCACCCTTGCTAGAGCCCACACGCAGTCTCTCTGAGGGTTACTATCCAATTTCTGGACACAGCTGCCTCTGCCCTGCTATGCTAGGCAAAGACACAATTACTGCTAGCGATACCTACACCGACAAGATCCTTAAAATGCCCAGGATTAAAGAAAAGTCAGAGTGGCTTAGTGAAGAGAGACTTCTTCAGAGTAGCTTCTCCACCACTACTGATCAGCAAACTGACAACATTCTATTTTGGTCAAATAAAAGTAGTTACAAGAAGAAGATGCTTCCAGACTGCCCGGATCTGCAGACCTTATTTGCATTCTGGCTGTGTCAGGTTTTTAAAAATGCTCTTGCCATTTATGGTCTCAGTAACTGCAGCTCAGCCCATGCACTATTTACCTCAGCTGCCCTTAGCTTGCTTTATCATCTTATTTTAATGGCCACAACCATTAGGACCACTATCTTTACCAGGAACACAACCTACTACAGTTATTTATTATTATTTTTTTTTTTTTGGCAGAACCAGGGATTGAACTCAAATCCTTGCATTTGCCAGTCAAGCACTTATCCTACTGAGCCATCTCCCTGGCCCCCCTACATTTAAAAGCCCAAAATGCTCAATAGGATGCTGAGTACCCAAATGCAGTCTCCACAAGTACACCGTGAACAGTAGCTAATGTTTAGTGAGGATTTAATATGTGCCAGACATTGTGGTAGTGTTTACATATATCATCTCATGCACACTGAATTATGAGATATGCATAATTATTATTCCAATTTTAAAATTAAAAAAAATCCTCTGAGAATTTGGAGAGGTTAACTGCTTATGAACAAAAGTGACAGCCCCTAGATTTAAGTGTAGATAATGAACTTCAAAATTTATGCTGTGAACCGCTCACTGCTCCTTCTTCTAGCCATCTGAACTCTAAACACCACAGTACGATGTAAGTTATCCACACCTGTGAATCCATGTTTCCGGACTCTTTGGAAACTTTGTTAAGGCCAGTTTTCCCAGATGTAAGTCTTTAATTGGATTTAAGGTACCAGAGAGGATCAATTCTTTTCTATGAAAGAAAAAAATTTGAAAAGCATTATATCATCCTTCTATTGAAATATTATGCATAACTTTTAATACAATCTTATTATGAAATGTCAGTTTCCAAGAATTAAAATTTTTAAAATATCACAACTTCAAGCCACTTTAGTATAGTACTGAACTATCATAAATGTCACACACACTAATTAACAATGCATTTTCATAATCTCAAAATGAATACATAATAAGAAGAGCTTCTCTTAGGCCAACAGCGGAACTTCAGTCAACTATTTGGGTCACAGCAAAGATGCTTTCTTCACTATCTCATCTCAAAAGTTGTGTGCTTAGATAGCAGTTTTCTAACAGTCAAGATCTGCTCTGGCTTCCTAGTCTACCACATTACACACACACACACACACACACACACACACACACACACACACAAAAGCCAAAACATGGATATAACTGAGATGTGACAAAAAAGATTATCATAAGTTATTGTTTAAATTGTCCATTCTACATTTTCCCACATTTTCACATTTTTTAATGTGCAATTTTATATCTTGCTCTCATATTTGAAGGATTTCCCTATGGGTTCTATACAATCTTTGTAATGAGTATTCTGAATGGTCAAGTGGCTTTCATTCAGTGGCTATAGATATCATTTAATATTCTTTTTCCCTACAAATGTATCTAGGTTGCTTCCAACTTTTTTACTTTTCTAAAAGACTGATGGGGAAAAAACAAAAAAGTCTTTTGCTCATACACAGTTACTTCTTTGGACCTATCAGACTTTCAAGAGGTATTACCATGTGAAACACTTGCCTTTAATATACTAGGCAGCTGTTTGGGGTTTTTCTAATATAAGCTGAAATAACAGACAAATGTTTTAAAGCTGATCAAGCTCAAACAACGTTCAATGCAACTTTAAAGAATTTCATACTAGTTGCACCTATTTTTCACTAAGTGCAATTTACATTTAATTTTCCAGGTAAGTTTCTGGGGTTTCTTTTTGTTTTGTTTTTGTTTCTGTGTTTTGTTTTCTTTGTTTTTGTTTGTTTGTTTGTTTGCTTTTTTGAGACAAAATCTCACTATGAAGTTCAGTCTGACCTTGATCTCACGTAAACCCCGGCTGGCCTCAAACTCACAGCAACTCTCCTGCCTCAGCCTCTCACCTCCTGCGATTATGGGCATGTGCCTCCACACTCAATCATCAGATATATTTTTGATAACAGGTGCTAATGTTACAAGTGTGCTTCCAATTAATTCTCAATATTATTTTATAATAAAATCAGATCATTTGTTAAGATTTAAAATGTTCTTCTTGCAAAAGATTAGTTTTATAGACATTGAAGCACAACAAACCAGAACCCTTATATATCAGCTGCTTAGATGAATTTAGTTCTAAAAGTGACAGTAATTTTCTTTGAAGTAGCAATGTGCTATTTCTAAATTTTTATTGATAAACTTCCTTTTAAATGAAAACACAAATAATGAAAATACTTATTATGTAGTTGCTTTAAGGTTGGTAACATTATAAAAGAATTTGAAACAAAGGTTTATGATTACTTTGACTATTTTCCTTTCAATATATAGGAAACCCTTTTCTATTAAAAAACAAAACACACACACAAAAATCTACCAGCCAATTGCTCCTATGCGCTTAGATAGCTTTTCTTCTGAAACCAGTAACATTTTCCTTATGAGGTACAAGGACAAAAAGACTGCTCTATGTAATTCTGACTAATCTGTAGTATAGTATTTGCTCTAAGTGCAGCCCTAGACAGTGGTACCAGTGTACTCGGAAACAGGAGATAAGCAGACTGTCAGGCCTGCAGACAGAGGAGCAGAGCACGGCATCTGAACAAGCCCTTTGGGAGAGGCAAATGTGAAACCACTATTGCAAAGAATGTAATGTATTATCTTTAATCTCCATTTGCTAAATTTAAATTTATTGTTACTTACAACTTCCTCTCTTCACTCCCAAGTATGGGGAAATAATAAAATATTTCTTTAGAAAAGAGGGAGTCAATTACAACTTGAGCATTTACAAAGCTTCTTAAATTATGAGCCCTCTATTAATTTTGTTTTGAAAAATGCTGTATTTTGGGGATGACAATTCAGTCTGGAGCATCCTTAACCAACAATATATATGACTCTTAAAAAGAAATCTCATAACAAAAAAAAAACACCAAAGAAAGCAAAATATTATGAATTGATAAACATGTCTGGGTGCAAGACTGAACATCTTAAGGTGTTGGATACTGTTGCAAACAATTTTTTTGCTCTGTCCCCTGTGCCTGCCTAAGTGTGCCTAAGCAGGCACTTTAGACTGCTAAGCTATCTCACCAGCTGCAAACAAGTTTTTAATAAAGATTGTATTTAAAAAAATATTCTAAGTGCTTAAGTGATGGCAATCCTAACCTAGAGGTATAATAAAAGATTAACTACTTTAATGAATTCACAGTTTCAAGAGGAATATGAATGAAGGCAAAATTTCCAGTCAGATAGATTCAAAGAGTACTGTACCTCAGCCTGGGAGATAGCTTGGCAATCTAAGCACCTGCCTGGCAAGTGCAAGGACCTGGGTCTGATTCCCGGTACTGCATGCCATGAGGCACCGCACTGTGCTAGCCAACGAAACTGGGTGTGGTGGTGCGTGCCTGGGGAGGCTGAGATAGGTGGATCACTATGAGTCTGAGCTGCATAGCAAGAGACTGTACCAAATAAATAAGTAACTTAATCTTAAAAAAAAAAAAAAAAAAGTAAAAATACTGTAACTCAAACAACTCAGATATAAAAGGATAGGATCTGGAATACTTCCAGACAGGTAAAAAGGACAAAGTCATTGATATAAACTAAGTCATGGAAGGCATTTCAATATAACTAATAAAATGTAAGCAAGTGAAATTTTATAAACCAAAACATCTGTCATTTTAAAGTTGTGTAATTAAGTCAAAATAAATTTTAAGGCATTAACTTACTTCATGTGTATCCCCTAAAGATTATATAGGGATACAGTACTGGCCTAAAAAGAAATTGGGGGGGGAGAATTTTTTTGTCTTTTTGAGACAGGGTCTCACTACACAGTTCAGACTGGTCTTGAGCTTACCTTGTAGCCCAGGCTGACCTTGAACTTACAGCAATCCTCCTGCCTCAGCCTCCCAATTGCTGGGGTTACAGGCATGCATCACCACGCCCAGGGGAAATTTTTCTTGTTGGATAAATGGGGTGCTACCTTAAGGTAAGGTGGATCTATCAGAGGAAGCTTTAGGTGCCTGCATGCTGAAAAGTCCAGCTTCTGCTTCTTAGGTAGAACACGGCTAACAGAAGAAGCAATGAGCCTAGGATCATCAAATAAACATTAGGAAAATGAGGAAGGAAAAAGCCTCCATTATTTTGGGGTTGGAGAGCAGAAACGGTAAGGAGCAACGCTACGCACAGCTTTGTGGGAAGAACTATGTACAAGAGAGGCACCACTGTCTGAAATGGGAGGTAAGGGAGTAAGGATATAAATTTTTGAAAAATGATAAAAGTAGAATTGTAAAAGCAATGAGGTTTTCTATATAGCACATTTTTGAAATGATAAAAGTAACCTATTTGAAATCTTTGTTATGTATTTTTACTAAACAAAAAAAACCTCTCACCACTTTCCATTGAAAACTCTTACTCACTAGGCAAAACCACCTCGTCCTATAGCTAAACTCGTGCAGCCGCCAAGGTGAGCAGTCCACCGCACTCCCTCTGTCTAGGAGACACTGGGCTTTCTTTCACACTTCTGCTGTTTATTTTGGCTGAGGCTGAATTTACTGGTTAGCTCTGTAGTTGGTACATCATAAGGAATGTTATATACAAATGCCACTGTCTTTCTCCTCCAACCTTCACTGTCTAAAATAGTAACAGTCAGCTGCATAGAACATTTTCTCTAATCACTGCTCAATGACTGTTATCTAGTTTACTTTTTACAATAACCCTATAAGAATTGTTGGTCCATGTGAAAATATCAATATTCAATCTTTTTGGAAAAAAACAAATGAAGAGATGTTACAAGGACAACAGAGAGAATTCATACTCTGCACCTGGTTTCCCTATTGTCAACGTCCTCTATTATTACCATGGTATTTTTCTCAAAATTGGTGAGCTAATGTTGACATCACTGAAGTCTGTATTTTACTCAAATTCCTTAGTTTTCTGTTTGTTTTTTAACCAAATTTCCTTTCTTTACTCCAGGGCCCCTTCCAGAAGGCGCATTACATTTTGGTTATGCTACAGGATTCTAGGCCCATTTTGTTTTGTTTTGTTTATATTTTAGGGAAGGGTCTAAAGGGTGTTCAGGTCTCACTACTAGATTGGACTCGTAGTGATCCGCCTGTTTACAGCCTCCTAAGAGCTGGGATTATAGGCACGCGCCACCACGCCCAGTCTCAATGCACCCCAGGGGCGGGGCCAGTATGGCAGGCCCAGGGATCGAACCCCGAGCCCTTGTGCCTGCTTGCAGGCACTTTCCTCTGCTGAGCTATTTGGCCGGCCCTTCATTTTGTTTTTAATGGTTTCGATATTTTTGAGTACTTGTGACATGATACAATACTTTTATTGTGTTTAAGCTTGGGCTATGGGCATGGAGGAGGAAGACCACACATCAGGTCAGGGCCACATACAATCAACACAACTTATCAGGTTGATGACCTGGATTAAATGGCTGCAGTGATGTTATGTCAGGTTTGTTTACTACTTTTTGGCAGGAAATCAATGATTTTCTGCTTCAATGTACAGCTTACACTTAGGAATGGTGAATAATGCTCTGCCTTCTTAGGGGGATTACCTAGATTAACCAACCAACAGCACGGTTGTCATCTGCCTCCTACTTATTTATTCACTGATTCTTTTATGTCAGGGTGGACTTCTGGATATTTGTTTTATATTCTGGATTATAAACCAATACCATGTCAAAGTAATTTCCCCCATATCCACAGTTTAAGTCACCTATGGCGAAGCAGAGTTCAAAAATTTTAAATAGCAAATTCCAAAACTAACGTGTAAGTTGTAAATGGCACGTTGTGTGGAAGCACGCGATGAGACCCCAGTAGCACAGCCCAGGGTTTGAATTATCCCTTGAGCAGTGTATCCCTTCTGCATAAATTCATTAGTCCCTAACTAGGAAAAAATCCATATTTTTCTTTGTTTTAGGCACCCACATGACAAACGAGGACTACTGAACTTACTTTGTTGCTGAAATCACTCCAGCTTTTGCTATTTGAAGTTCTTTTAAGTAGTACACATGTCCCTGTCACACCACCCCACTGGACTATACTTTGAATAGTTTCTTTACATTCTGGCTCCACAAGATGTACCACCATCATCTTATATACTTTCTGCCCTAAGTCTAGCATCATCTATTTTTCCAAGAAGCCTAGTTTCTTTAATAGAGAATAGTGTTAGAAATCAGTATCTACTGCTGAGATTCAAATTCAGTATTTTGGGCCGGCCAAATAGCTCAGCGGATTACAGTGCCTACGATCAGGTGCAGGGGCCAGGGGTTTGATGCCCAGGCCTGCTATGTGGGTCCTGCCCCTGGGGCATGCTGAGACAGCAATTGAGACTAGGTGTGGTGATGTGCACATCATCCCAGCTCTTGGGCGGCTGTGAACAGGCGGATCACTATGAGTCCAATCCAGTAGTGAGACCCTGAACACCCTGTAGACCCTTCCCTAAAATTTAAAAAAAAAAAAAAAAATCAGTATTTTGATCTAGAAAAAAAATTCAAATGGTTCCACCTAGTATTTCCTCAATTTTATAGAAGAGAAAACTGAGGATTGGAGACGTTCATTAATTTGTTCAAGGCTTCCTAACTCCAATTGTGAGAACTAAACCTCTAATGTGCATAATACAAAGTCATCAGTTCAATCAATAGGCTGAGTAAGGAACACGACACTGGCGCTGGGCATCAGCCACCACAGCCGCTCACAGACATTCTGTTTACTCTGAAGTTCGCAGACTGATGAAAAGGCAGGACAATCAAGCCAACTTCTAACATCAAGTAATTCACCATCTTTCAAAGCAAAAGCAGTCATTTTTTAACAACAAGGGTTTTATGAAAAAAATGACAGCCATTTACTATAATCACAGGAGATCAGCTCAAAAACTTCCTCCCTGATATTGTAAAATTAAGAACTTGAACCTGAGCACTACTCAGAGCATATTCTTAAAAGTCTGTAAAATATAATAAAAGTCATTCAATGTTTCCCAGGGTTGCTAAAGAAATATACCAAATGCAACACAAAGTGCTGAGTATTTGGTTTGTAAAAAACACCTTACAAGTCTAGACCAGTTTGCTTCCAGTTAGTTTTTTGTTTAAAATGCAAGCATGATTTTGTGATAATCAGTGACTACAAATCAAAATTTACCAAAGCACATATCCACAATGGATTAAAAAAAAAATCAAGATTATCTTTTACTTATAACAAAACTTTATTCATCTTTCAATATTAATTGGTATACCCATCACTGAAGTTAGATTTATGAAGCAATTTCTTTTCAAAAGACGCTAAGCTACAAATAATCAAAAACATTAGTTTTGAAAGAAGCACAAAAACAAATTTAGTTGAAATCTTACTTTATAAACTGAAACTCTTAAAAATAAATAAATAAATAAATAAATTTTAATAAATAAATAAATAAACTGAAACTCTTGAGAAATGAAAAGTTTTGCCCTAAGTCAACTGCTACTTAAGTGATGAAACAGAACCAAGTTGCATGGCCCAGATTCTCTCTCCCACACCTCACTGCCTTATAGATATCTAATGAATAATGTGTGTGTACATATGTTTATACAGATGTATGTGTATAGACATGGAGGTATGTGCACCTGTTTACACATTACGCTAGTACTTGTTTTGCTGTTTTCTTCTTGTTTCTAGAGGTAGGATCATGCTGCAGGATGACCCCACATTTGCGATCCTTCTGCCTCCCAAGCACAGGGTATACTGCTCGCCACCACGCCTGGCTTGCTAGAAAAAAAATTGTAAAGGATTTTCAATTCCTCTCTAATGTTGACAATGTGAAAACACGAGACATTCTTCCTTCCCCAAAACATTCATTTCTTTTTCAATGAATTTACGTTCACTGTGCAGTTTGCAAACTTCATGTTTCTTTGGTGCCAGGCATTAGAGAAACAAAGAAAAACAACAACAAAAGAACAAAACAGAGACACATTCCTAACCTTCAAAAGCTCTCCACTGTAAGTTCACAGTATCTTCCTAAGAGTCCTTTTTGCTGATTTTTCCTTATCTTGCAAACTCTAGAACAGTACTGCTCAACAGAAATACGTGAGTCACAAAGTGAGTACATACATGATTTAAAATTTTTCTAACAGCTATATTAAAAACAAATACTATATAAGTTTATTTTAATTCAACATATCCAAAATGTTATAATTTCAACAAGTAATTAATTTTTTAAAATGCACCATTTCACTCCCTTGGGTACTTAAGTCTTCAAAATCTGGTGCACAGCTACGTGTCTAGCACACCTCCTCGGGGACTAGTCACATTTCCAGGGCTCAACAGAAATGGCAGCTAGTGGTTACTGTACGGGCCTCAGGAAATACTGAAGCAGCTCAATGTGCAGACTTTGACCTGGTTGTTTTTGCTATCTGCACTTACTACTTTGCAGATCTTGGTTATGTGGCTTTAAAACTATAATCTAGCAATTCCTAATTTTTATCTGGCCCAAGTTTTATACCCTGAACTTTTAGATTAATGTACCTCTAGATGGACACAAAACTAGTATGTCCTCAACTGAACTCTGACTTCTAGCCACCATCTCCTTTTCAGAAAATGGCAATTCTCTTTCCACTAGCCCCAGGCAAAACCCAACTCAAGCCCGATTCCTTCCTTTCATATCTAATTTAGAATCCAGGCAGATTTTACAGCTATTCACCATTTCCAGAGCTGAGCTCTTCAAGTCACCATCATCTTCCTGCAAATCACTGCAACCGCTTCCTAACTCCAGACCCACTCCCTGTACTTGTACCCTCTACTTCCCGCACAGGACTCAGTTTCCAACCCAAGCTACAGTCCCTTCTCATCTCAGGGAATGTCATGACTCTCTCATCCTTAGTAAAAGTTGAAGTTGGTGTAAGGTCTTACGAACACAGCCACAACACTGCCAGATCTGGCTTGCTATTCTCCTTTCTCCACTACGTTAGCAATGCTGACTTCTTGCTGTCTCAGAACATTCAGGGTCACTTTAGGCACGACTGAGGGATTCTTCATCTGCAGTTCCTTTTACTTGGAAGGCTCTTACCACAGAACTAAGGCTTTGACCCCTAAATTCATGTTGGTTTTCCTCAAATGTTCCCTATAGGGAACATGTAAGGGCAAAGCCTGTATTGCCAGTTCTCTGGGACAATGAGGCTAGAGATTCATGAATTTTGGTTCAGCCTGAACAGCTTAGTTAGGCCCTGTTTCCAAAGGGGAGTTGGGAAGGGTAGCAACTGGGGAATTAGAAATGCAGCTGTGCGGAGGCGCTGGGGACTGCAAAGAGCAAAACCCCGCAACAACACCTCCTTGTCCTTCTGGCCTCTCCTGCATTCCTTCCTCACTTTCTCCACAGGATTTGCCACCACTTGATCTATATTTTACCTCTGAATGCCCTTATTACTTTTTGCCCACTACTAAGAGACTTTTGTATGCTCTATTCATGATTCTAGTGTCTACATCTAGCACACAGTAATTAACAAAGAAATATATGAATCAATAAATGTTCTCAAGTACTGTATGTATATGAGATAATGAATTATGCAGTATGGCCCTTGAAATAAAGTAACCACTCAATAAACAGTCTATTCCCTACCTACTGCAGTGCTTCCCATTAGAAAAGCAGAGCTCAAAATTCATAAATATTTAAAACCTTGTATCTCATTCTATACATTTTACTCCTTACTCTATAGATTTCTGGTCATTCATTATTTAAAGGACACTTTAAGAAAAACAAGTTCTTAATTAGTTATAAATATAAACTTTAATAGATATTATAAAACAGTAACTCAAAATGTGATCTTAAAATGCACAGAAAATTTAACTGTATGATTTAGGTTATATTAAAAGATTCAGAATGTTCAATGGAATTTTATTTTCATTTAACTATAATTTGCATTCTGCTTTCCTCTATTCTAAAGGAATTTTAAATGTGTATACACATACATGTTAACTGAAAAAAAAAAATGCTGTTCTGAATTGTATTATTTCTACTAAGTATTTTCTTTAAAATCTGTAATACTTAGATTCAAAGAATATAATATGAAAACCATGGTCTTTCTCTGAAACATGGTCAGACTCCTGACGCCTTGCCCTGGGGGTCCCAATGTTAGTGATAAGCCGAGACTAAACACCGCAGCCTTGCATCTTCATCCCGCATTTTCTTCTGTGCTGCAGTTGTCCTACCAACCACTCCGTTTTGCCAGCTGCCCATACCCCACTTCCCCGAAAGGAAGGAAAAGAAAAGCATGCACCAAAGAGTATACTATAATTCAAAATGAAACTTCTGAGGCAAGAAAATTTATAGAAATCAGACACAGACATGCAGAAAAGAATATGGAGTATTTATGACAACTGTCATGGAGATAGAAAGAATGGATAGAAGACATAAGTATAGGACATCATGGATATAATAGCTTATATTTAATCTTTCGAACATCTAACAACTCATAAATCTTCAGAAATACGGACAGACTTCATCTTATCACTTATGAAAATTATGTACCTCACATTCCATGCCGTGGTAAAATCTGGGTTTAGAAGCAGCAGAGTACACGTGACATCTATCAATTCTAAAATAAAAAGAAGTCATATTAAAAACAAATAGTCCTACCCTTCAGAGCCTGGTCTCTTTAAAGGTTTTCTTTCTTGCATTCACACTCATAGTATCACAGATCTCAAGACATACTAATTTTAATGACAGACACCCTGGCACTCAGCTGTAAGGGATGTACTGTATATGCAAAGCATCTTCCATGACTTCCTTCTATTTATAACAAACTCTTTTAAAAGTTGACACTTAATAACTTTACAATATAATTTGATTATTTTAGTTTTGGGCACTGATTTAATATTTACCAAAGAATTCAGTTAGGTCCATTAATATTCCAAGTATTTAATATGTACAAATTTTCAAAAGGGGAAAAAACAAGTCATCAGCCAACCCAGTGTAACTCATTACATTCTTCTGCAAAATGTTTCTTTCTTGTGCACATTTATAGCAATGATAAAATTACTATATTTTAAAATATTTTATCTTGCAGTTTCCTTCTTTTGGATATAGCTCCTGAGGTATAACTACTATGTGAAAACAACAGAAAACCTGTATGGCTCCCCGTGTTTGTACATTGTCCTCCAAATGGACCATTAATAATGCCAAGTGACAGATGAGTCAACTTAAGAGAATTCAATGAAGTAAACTGAAGAAACTGCTTATAATTTTGATCTACATAGTTTTGTTGTTCAAGCTCAATGAGATGGTGCTGGTGACGCAGCTCAGTGGCAGGGCGCTTGTCTTGGCCCTGGGTTGGATCTCCAGCAGCCCAACACAAAACCAATGTGATGGATATTAAAAACCTGTACTTTAAATTACAATGTTACATCTATTTCCATGAGTGTCTTTCATTTTGTCTACTACTTAAAGCTCATCTAGTGCTCCCTTGGGCAGCACATATACTTAAAATTCACCTGTGAATAGCCTATTTGCTTTTACAAAGCTATCTCGTGAGCTTGACAAAACTCTTAAATATTGAAATAAGCTCTAAGGCATACTTTTAAAAGAACAAAAGAAAATGTAGACATATTTACTTTTACTAAAATTGAAAAACAATCTAGGCTAAGATTATAAAATTAAGAGACACAAAACTGAATTAAGTAACTCTATCAAGCATGTATCTGAAGTAACTAAATCAAAATAATTGCTATAGTTTATTTAGTATCACTATGTACTAGACATGATATTAAGTACTTCATTCACATTATTTCATTTAATTCTCATAATCAACCTCCAAAACATTCTTATTCTACTTTATTGGCAGAGAAAATGCGATTTACAAAGTTTAAGCAATTTGCCCAATCACTTAATTATTTGTGACAAGTTAACATCTAACTGTTTTTAACAAATCAATTATACTGCAACTAAAATTTCTCCCTGCAATAAGTAATTAGGATATTTTCCATGTTTAAGTAAAAGATAAACATAAAAATCTAAGAACAAAGTACTTAAATGTTTACATATAAGTACAACGTATAGTCATTTAAAAATATTCTAGTTCATAAAAGCAATTATCCTGTTCACACTCCATCTTAATAGATGATGGTGACATTTATTTGGGGCTCATGATTTCATTGCTATTGAGCATACTGTCACGTATAATCATCAGCACCAAACAGGACCAGCCTACATTTTGACCTGCATCTTTCCTATCATAAGTTATCCTTTGCATAAACATGGTATGTCTCTGAAGAATACTCTAATTAATCATTTCCTTCACTTTTAGTACATTCAATATTTAATATCTACCAAGGATAACAGCACAATGTTCTGTACTACATTCATGTAATTCCACTAATATTCCAAGCACTGGCAATGGATAAAGGTTAAACTGATCCCTTAGGACTAAAAGAATAGGTTAATTTAAAAACTTTATCTTGTCCTTAATGAGATCAACCTTTAGTTGGAGAGAACATATACACAAATACTTACATAAGTCAAAATGAAACAACTGGGAAGTAAGAGAACATACCACACTATGACGCCTACAAAAGAAGCTGTACTCATTCTAGTACAGCTAGAAGGTGTACCTATGGGAGACTAAATGAATATGGCAGTAAAAGCTCTGCAGACCATGGAAAAAGGTCTGGCAAGGTGAAGAGGCATGGAACATCACACACAGCCTGCTCTCAATGAGAAAACTGGGAGCAAAAGAATGTACTTTCAAATATGAACCCTTCAAAAACATGGTCCCAACCTCCTCTCAGCCTGGCATTTCACTTTTTCCTTGCACATGCTAAACTCCAACCAAAATCAAATCCCACCACCCTCTGAATATGCCTCTCATCTGCCTACCTTCTCTTTTAGGACACAACACAAACTGATCTGCTGATTACGCTTTCTACCAGAAATCTCTCCCTATGTGTCAACATAAAGAATAACAACACAAACACTTTCTATCTCAGGAATTGTTAAGTACATTTTTCTCCCAGGAAGCACTCAATTAGTGAGAAAAATCTTTCATCCATTTTCTTGTGCATCATATTTCATTACATAAATATTATCCTTTTAGACTATAAGTTAAGGAGGCAGGTCCTCCTTAATACATCTTCAAATTATTCACTCAATGAATTTTTGTGAGCACCTATAATAAACCAGGAACTGAGGGAAAATAAGTTAAGACATGGCTTCCATCAAATGAAGCTGAATATTAGTCCACAGCATAAAGGGGTGGCAAGAGCCACTCTGCTTTAGTTTGAATTGCAGTTTCTCCACTTACACCTACAAAACATAACCTCTTTGAACCTTAGTTTCATTACCTATGAAGTGGGGAATAACCATTTCAGTGTTATGCAGGGTGAAATTTTATTCCAATTCACTATTGCTGTCTAATACAGTGAGTGCTCAATAAGTATTTGTTCAAATAAATATCACTGTGACTTACCACCAAGAATGAGTATTTTCAACATTACAGACATCAGAAATTATGAGGCAACGAAACTAAACTTATAAAATAACAAAAACCACTAAGTACTTAAGCAGCTATATGGTAAACTTTGGACAAGATGGGAAAGCTTTTACAATCTCTTTGACGTCTACAATTTTTCAATAAGCCATTATACCACTAGGTAAAGAAAATGTGTAACGAATGATAGTTGATATTGTGTGTAATTTTACATAGACAGCATTTTTTTGGTACCAGGAATCGAACTCAGGACCTTTCATTTGCCAGTCAGGCACTCTGCCACTGAGCTATATCCCCGGCCCTCACGTGTACTTTTAACACAACTGTCCTTCCCTATGCGTGTGCTTCAGAGTTTCCTCCTCATTTGTAGCTAATAACAATACTTCCAGATAGGGGTATTAAATGATTAAAAACATGAAGTGTCAAGATAGTACCGATTCCTCCTTCAAAGCTTGCGTCTCCTAGCCCAGTTCCACAGTGATACTGGACCTGGATGCTTCTGGAGGAGGCAAACAAGCTGAACTGGCTGGGCAAGGATCCCTGAACAGAGATTTTTTTTTTCCAATTTTTTAGATTCTTGGAAACTCAAGATTTAAAACATCAATGGCCTCAACTAACTAGCAGTAACCAAATCAGTAACATACACAACCACAAGCCCTCCTTTTTGACAAACTACTAACTTCGTGACTAAGAACTCAAGTTACCATGCAAGATATAGGGAGGTGAAGTGGAATGTTAGACATAGGAAAACTAGTCAGAGACTTAAGCACCTGCCTAGCAAGTGAAAGGTTCCAAGTTTGATCCCAGAAAGGGAGGAAGGGAGGGAAGGAAGGAAGGTGGGCAGGCAGGCTAATAAAGGTGTGGTAACTAGGTTAGAAACCCATGATGTAAAGAACTAACTCCTCAGGGAAAGTCTCTGAGGTCCTGATTAGTTCACCCTTCCCCTTGTGTGGAAACAGCAACGAAGGGGAAGTACTCCGCCTAAAGACACAGTAAGTGACTTCAGGACGCTGGTGCCCCGAGCAAATCCATCTTCCTGCAAAGCAGATACTCTGTCCACTTTAGTACTCTACAGGCAAATACTCGGCACCCTGCGGAACAGACCAAACCAAAAGCTCAGGAGACAAACATGTATAACCAAGCATTTACTGTAATTATTTCATATAGTAACTTCACTCTAAATTTTGCCAACTATGTATCCCTTCTTCTCTAGCCTTACCCAAAAGATATGCACTATTCAAAGTCCTACAGTCTCTTGAATTTAAATATCACACATCAGAATAAATACCAGCAAAGAAATGATCATTACACATACTTGAATATACTACTGACCCATCATCATATCATAGAGAAAAAAATGAAACCAGGTCACACGGTATATAGGAAAGTGGCTAAATTCCAGCTGTAACAAGGAAAGGACACAGGATGAGACAGAAGTTAGAGAAAACTTAATATGCATTCTTTGCTGTACTGCATTTTAGAAATGGTCCAATGCTGCAGCACCTGGTAATGATCAATGAGTTTGACACCTGACAGAGAAAGACTTTTATGCATTTACAAATAAATTCAGAGTCAACTTGCATTGGCTAATCTCTTCTTCCAAAATACATTGATTACTTGTGAAGACAGATTAAGGTAAGTTATTTTTATTATACAGCAGAGTCAGACTTGATAGCTAGACTAAACTAAGAACTCCTGCTTAGAGAATCCTTGTTATTAATTTGGTAAGGGTCGCCTTAGCACAGAAATGTGCTGCATAAATAAAGATGAGCCATAATCTCCATTCCAATCTCACAAACCAGTAGGGGGAAATCTTATTTAAATCATCAAACTACAATTTAGTTTGGCAAGTGTTATTATGCAAGCTGCCTGAATAAAGCACTCCCATAAGAGTATACAGAATTATCTATTCCCAAAGCAGCCAAAACTACTACCCAGAGTTGAACGTCAGTGAGCACGTGTGCCTAGGCTAGGCACCTCACGCACGGTAACAGTATGGTATAAGGACGGCCGCAGCAGAAGCATGAGAGTCAGACACAGGCACGTCAGAGGCTGCAATAATGTGGGCTACGGCCGCAGTGTACTGCCAAAATGCTCCAAACGCAAATGCTCAAGGAGTTCTAATGAATGTCAAAACAGGAGAAAATTGAAACCGGTAAGGTAAATGACACTATGGTTCAGTGTCTGAAAGGTGTGAAAAGATGTGGTAAACCAGAAGACTTGCCCTTGTAAGAAAAGTGGGGGCTGAGCTTCGCTAGCTGCTGTGTACGAACCTGTGTACATAAGCTGCCTGACTTTTCAAGAGAAGACTGAAGCCCAGATTTTCATCCTGATTTGAAACAAGCATGCAACTAATTAAGAATAATTATTAAAATATTATATAAGCCAAATGAAATAAATCTGCATCCTGCTGCAGCATGATGAATGTGAGCTGGAGGAAAGCACTGGGGGCAGGCGAGGATGTGGACAGCACAGAACACAACGCTCGTGACTTTAAACTACCCTGACTGGGTAGGCATCAGGACCTAGGAGGAGCAGACATACGTTCAAACAAGAGCAGAGTGCTGGCCACACAGCTCAGCAACTAAAGCACCCGTTCAGGCAGATGTAGGGACCAGGGTTCAATCCCTAGCGTGCTGGGCTGGCCCTGCACCAAGGGACCCTCAGATGACAAATGAGACTGGGCATAGTGGCACATGCCTGTAATCCCAGCACCTGGGAGGCTGAAAACAGCAGAATCACTACGAGTCCAGTCTATGTACTGAGACCCTGTAGACCCTGTCCTAAATACATAAAAAAATAAATTAAATAAAATAAGAGCAGGGCCAGGCAGATAGCTCAGCTATGTAAGCACCGCCCCGGCAAGCACAAGGACCCAGGATCAATCCCCAGGATGTGCCGCGCTGGCCCGGCACTGGGTGTAATCAACCAGTCACCAAAATGGGATGTGGGGGCGCACACCTGTAATCTCAGCGCTGGGGAGGCTGAGACAGGAGGCTCACTATGAGTCTGAGCTGCATAGCAAGACTCTGCACCAAATAAAAAAATAATAATAAATTAAAATAAGAGGAGCAAATACACATCTCAGAGAAGCACTTCTCAAAGACATTTTTAAGAAATATAATGCCCCTGGTTTGGTCCTGAGGTTCTGACAACCTCCCCTCTAAAGCAAAGAAGGGAGTTACTGTTAAAAGTGTTTCATTATTGATGCAAAGGGCAGGGATTACAGAAGAGCCTGAAAGTGGGACAGACCAGTTATGAGGCAGTGACATCTGTCTGTGTGAGAAACAATGAAGGTCTATCCCGCAGAAGAAATGAAAAGCAGGAAACAGCTGTACAGAGACAGCTACAGGGTGAGACTGTAGACTGAGGAAGTGGAAGATGGTAAAGTAAAAGGCAGCAGGAGGGAGACTGGGGAGACAGCTCAGCCCACTAAGAGCCTGCCTGCCAGGTGCAAGGACCCAAGTTTAGAGTCCCTGTACCACATGCTGTGCCGGTCCTGGAACCCCTGGTGCATGTCTAATCCCAGCACTGGGGAGGCTAAGACAGGAGGACCACTACTAGTCTGAGCTGTGTAGCAAAACTGCACCAAATGAATGAATGAATGAATGAATGAATGAATGAATGATTTTTAAAAAAAACTGAAGGGGAAAAAAAAAAAAAAAGCAACAGAAGGGCCCAGGGCTCAAATGCAGACTATGGGACAGAGCTCTGCCTCGTCAGTATCAATGCTGGGCTCACAGCCGGGGTGGGATTTGTCAGGGATTTCTCAAAAACCCAAACTACAGCAGCATTCCTCTCCCAAACCAAATATTGCTTTTATTACAGCAACTTAAAAAATACAACAATAAAAAAACAGCAGTCTCTAAGTAACTAAACAGGAAGCTTTCTAAACATCTAAGGAATCTGCTATGGTTATAAGAGAATGAATTCAGTTTGATTAGGAAGAGAAAAAAAATCTATCCCAGAATTCAAGGTCACCTTTACATGGATGCTTAAGATTCTGGCCTGATCAATCACGTAGACAATGACATTCTGAATTGTTCTTTAAGTTGTTGGCTTTCTTTACATGGCTTTTCTTATACATATGGTATTTTCTGCAAAACTGTTTTAAAGAAATGGCATTTTCATGAAATAATTTTTTTCCTAATAAGTTTGATGTATGTATCTTGGCAAACTTCCTCTGTGCTCTAATTGCTTTGGTTCATAAGTCAAGCATAATACCCTTCTATCAGTATTTTCAGATATCTTTTTCTGTCAAGCAACAACTTCATTTTTTTTTTTTTTTTTTCTGTTACTCGGGATTGAACTCAGGACCTTGTGCTTGTTAGGCAGGCACTTAGTCACTAAGCTATCTCCCCAGCCCCTACTTCTTCATTTTTAATGATAATATGCACACTGAACAATAGATGATAACACATTAAACTATGTTGCCCCCTCAAAAACGTGAAATTAAATGCGGATTCCCTAAGGATACAGGACAAAATAAAACAGAAAGTTGCTTCTATGCCCATAGGCACAGTTGTAACAGAATTCAAAAGTTACAAAAAAAAAACACCCTCAGGTGAGTGAGCAAGCTTAACCACTTTATTGTCTATAGAAAGCCTCCTGGAACTATCAAGACTAGAAGTATGTGATGGGGGAAAAGCAAAGGCTGCAGTACAGACTTCAGAAGGACAAGAAATGGAAATGGAAAGAACGTGGACAAACACAGGAACACAGTAGGTGGGCTGGCACATGCGCACCACAAAAGCTAATGCTGTCAAATACTGTAACTACAGGTGACTTTTAAAGATTCATACTGTTTCTTCTTTATGAGAATCATTCCATCTCTCCTTGCCACATGAGAGTCAGCTACATACTGGCCCAATTATATATTTCTGTACAGCAGAATACAGACAATATAGCTTAGTTTAGCAAAAAAATAGCTTGGTTTCATATGGTGCTACTTTCTACCTCCCCATTACTGAAACTAATGATTTGGTGATGGGTTAGAAAATTAAAGAGGGCCTAAATAAAAATACCCCTACATTTTAGTCTGTGTCTAATCTTACACACTAAAGTTTATGCCATACACTTAGGTCATGTAATCAAATTACGTTTGGATTTAGGCAAAGCCTTCTTGTTAAGAAACACGTGCCAGAGTACTAACCAAATGAATCATAGAGAAAATAGAAACTACTCTCAATTAAACCTTCAACCCCACTTTTATGGTCTAAGCAGGGAAAAGGGCTACTTAACCTATTATGATAATATGCTAAGGTCAGTGCTGGAAGGAATTCAGGAAAATCAACAACACTCTTAATCCCCTATCCCTAAACTAGCATGCTACTATAAACTTCCAGAACAGTGGACAACTTGTCATTCATTCTTATCCCTCAGTGTACCTAGAAGAGTTTCAGGTATGACTAGGCCCTTGGTAACAGCTATTGAACTGGAAATTACATTCTCTGGGAAATGAAATTCTTGTTCAAAATCAGCTTACAGTGACCAGGAGCGCTTTGGAAGGTACTGCTATATGTGGAAAGAAAGAAGTTTTACAAAAACAGTAGAAGTCACAGTCTTAGATGTGCACTCTACCGCACAAGATGAGATTTGAGATGAATCCAAAAGGATCAACAGATTTGCAAACATGGAAGATTAATATGCAGAACACCAAAAATCAGAAAGGCGGAGTTATCAAGAATTTTCTGCTGTAATAAAGAATTGTTTTGGGCTGGGGAGATAGCTCAGTAGAATAAGCGCTTGCCTGGCAAGTGTAAGGTCCTGAGTTCAATGCCCAGTACCACAAAAAAAAAAAAATAAATAAAATAAATAAAAAGAATTGTTTTGAAGAAGAAAATGTTGGAATGATTTTTCTTTCGCTCACCTCAGTGCAGGAATAGGATTCATAAGGCCAGAGCTCAATTAGGATTCGCAGAGCAACGGCACAGTGAGAAATCGCTATGCTGGATCACAGCCTAACTACCACGTTGATGATATCTGCATGCCCTCATTTGGATTGCTACAAAAACAAGTTCTACTGTTTGTAAAACACTCAAATACCTGAAATCAGAAATTGTACTTGTAGGGGACATAAGCCTCTTCCAAGATAGTCAAACTCTTTTTATGTCTGAATGCTGTATTAAGAGAGGATGCTTGCCAGGGCGATAGCTCAGTGGCATAAGTGCCTACCTAGCAAGTGCAAGGTTCTGAGTTTGATCCTTGATACAAAAAATAGAGAATGCTTTCTTTAAATAAAATCTTACACATGACTCCAATACATCAGTAAAATAAGAATTGCTTTGGCTGTAGCCAGTAGCCTGGAATCAGGTTTAAGGGACTGTCATACATCACTGCAGCTGTAAAAACGGGAAAGTAATGATCTAGTCAAAATTCTTTACTTGATAAGAGACCTGGTCAGGCAGTGAAGGGAAGAGCCAAAACTAGAGTTTTAGCACCCAGACCAGGGTTCTTCCCATGTATTTTATGCTGCTTCTAAAAACCAGAAGAAGATACGGCTCATACTCACCATCTTTGTTCAGCCACTGCTTTCTCGTTCTGTACAAAAGGAGTTTGTTGTGTACGTACGGTAAAAGAAACTTGACACACCAGCTCTCCACACCGAGTTTGTTTTCAACCAGTACGATGGGGCTCCGGTTATACCTTGCTTCAGGACATGGAATCAGGCCAATTTCATCTCTTAATATAAAACATAACAGAGAATTAAAGATAACACTGGTCTACTCAAAATCTCCCACACACATATTTCCTTTTCTTTAAAATATTATTTACCTAACCTACTATAGTAAAAACCAAAAGATATAAAATTTGCTGGTAATGCCAAGAATATGGGGAAAATAGTACAATAGATTATTTCTGCAAACAAGATTAAAAAATGCTCTTACCTTTGTATGACAATTTGAAAATACCTTTCAAAATTTAAAAAACTGTACTGTATTTGGTAATTGCACTGACCAGAATTTATCCTATCGTCAAGTATGTGACCAGAATGTTCACTGCAACAAAACAGGAACCAATCCAAATGTTTATTAGTGG